TACTTAGTGGTAAAGATCCTTCAATTACTGCCGTCACAAAGGAGGGAGAGCTTGTACCTGAATAAAACCTGGTCTTAAAGGTGCCACTGGACTGTTTTGGACCAGGGGGCTTTTTGTAAGCTTCCTTCTGGGTCAGCAAAAACATCTAGCCACGATGACCACTTGGCCATAATTCTATAGAGGCAACCTGTCTGTCTTGCTGCACAATCCAGCCTGAGGTCTTGTCCGGTAAAAATATTCCCATACCTTTTGGTACCACTGATGCATCAAGGGGAGATTCCGTCATTTCCAATTTGAAGCAAGCACATGTTTTGCTGCTGCCAAAGGGAGGGGGGCAAATGAAGTCTTTAGTATTTCGAGGAATCCTGATTCTTGGCCATAAGTCCAAAAGAATTAAGGTTGGGTCTTTAGAGAGATAACGACCTGTTATCAAATGAATCGGCAATACGATTTCACTCCAAAAGCTATTCACCTTAGTACACGACAGGCGCATTTTGAAATGACAGCTCAAATGAAGATGACTGTTGATATTGTGTAGTGGGTTGCCGCATCACGAACGACAAAAACTGGCGTAGTGCATAGCACGCTTTATTGGTACACAACAAGACAAGGACTAATGGCCGGCTGGCCAACTATATACACCCCTGGGGACACCCCCCGGGGTCCCGTTGGTGGGTTTGAATCTCCCGCCACAGTTCCCATTGGCTCCCCCAGTGGAGGGACTAGGAGCCTAGTCCCTATTGTTCCCTGGGCCCTAGTGCCGGTCAGCGGACACAACAGTTCATGTCTGTCCTAGATTTACAACTGATCTCCAAATGACAGAGATCAGTCTCCCAGGAGAAAATGGCGGCATTGGAGGGTGGACTCTGTGGCCTTGCACCCCACCAAGGCCCCTCCCCTCCTCAGACTCCACTGTTCCCACATTTCCCCCCGCCAAATCTCTAGGAATTTCCCAGCCCCAAGTTGGAAGTATTAGATACAAGCCCTGGGAGGGTACCAGTCTTGTTCACTTACCCCAGTAGAACCCAGATGGGTGTAGAAACAACCACAAAAGAAGGTACGTATCATACAGGGCTCTTTTTATAGAAAAAGCCCAGGACGAACGCATTAGCATAATAGGCCACACCCAAAAGCAGGAACTCATTAGCATATTGGGCCACACCCCTGACAGCACAGGTCATTAGCACTTTAGGCCGCACCCCCATGTTACCAGAAGTGTGGTCATCCAGCCACACCCACCTTTTGCTTGTCATTCTGTTTACCTTGTTTGTTGTCAAAACCCAGGGCCTTTTTTTGTAGCAGGAACTCCTTTGCATGTTAGGCCACACACCCCAAATGTAGCCAATCCTAATGAGTTTCTGCTGTTGGGTGTGGCCTATTATGCTAATGAGTTCCTGCTGGGCATGGCCAACTCGGGAGCCAGCCGGAACTCCGTTCCTGTGCGTTCCTGCCCAAAAATAGCCCTGCGTATCAAACTTAGCATTGAGGCAGATGTGGCCCCACAAAGCCAAACGCACCATGAAAGCGTCAAAAACCAGAACCATACTCATGCTAACGAAAGTCACTGGTGGTACTGACCTGTTTTTAAAGGTGTCTTCCTCTTTAGGCCTCAGGAACACCCTTTGACAGAACTAAATTCGCATCCATAGCACCTGTGAGACCAACAATGTTTTCAGGGCATCAGCTTCGGAGAGTCAAAGCTCCCTTCGTCAGATACAAGTAGGAAGAGACTGTGGCTCAGTGGTAGAGCATCCGCTTGGCATGCAGACGGTCCCAGGTTCAGTCTCTGGGATCTCCAGGTAGAGGATCAGGTGGTACGTGAGGTAAAAGGCCTCCGCCCGAGACCTAGGAGAGCTGATGCCAGTCTGAGTAGGCAATACTGACCTTGATGGACTGAGGGTCTGATTCCGTGTAAGGCATGTTCATGTGTTCTGGAGAGGGGCTGTGGCTCAGTGGCAGAGCATCTGCTTGGCATGCAGAAGGTCCCAGGTTCAATCCCCAGCATCTCCAGTTACAAGGACCAGCAGTAGGTGATGGGAAGGACCTCGTTCTGAGACCCCGGAGAGCTGTAAAGAGGGGCAATGGCTCAGTGGTAGAGCATCTGCTTGGCATGCAGAAGGTCCCAGGTTCAATCCCCAGCATCTCCAGTTACAAGGACCAGCAGTAGGTGATGGGAAGGACCTCGTTCTGAGACCCCGGAGAGCTGTAAAGAGGGGCAATGGCTCAGTGGTAGAGCATCTGCTTGGCATGCAGAAGGTCCCAGGTTCAATCCCCAGCATCTCCAGCTAAAAGGACCAGGCAGGAGGTGATGGGAAAGACCTCGTTCTGAGACCCCAGAGAGCTGTAAAGAGGGGCTATGGCTCAGTGGTAGAGCATCTGCTTGGCATGCAGAAGGTCCCAGGTTCAATCCCCAGCATCTCC